ACCTCTAGAGTAAACCCAACTGGAGGTATTTTATGTGTTTGCGATGCACAACATTCATAAAACGGTAAGTGCAAAAAGTATTAAACTATAAATAAGCATAACTCCATTGCCCTATCAGCAATAGCATGCCATCTATTTTATTTATTTTTAATCAAACAAAACCTTATGTATTGAACAAACAAGACAGGTGGCAATTATTCAGATCATGTAAGCTGGAAATTGTGATGAAGAAGTGTAAAAAGGGTGGAAATATGTTTTAGGCATTAAAGTACAGTGATTATCATATAACTACTGAATGAGAATGTGTAATTATCCGAACTCTCCAAATGTATTTGTGAAAGAACAAACTATTTTGAAAATGACATGAACAAACATTTGTAGATAAAATATAATCTATAACTGAATTCATTATTTTATTTATGTGCTTGACCACACAACTATGTTTGACTTTTTTTTTTTTTTAAACTATGGACAACTATGGACAAACAGGGCACTGGGTTTAACTATAAGAAAGGGGGTGGGGGATGGGGGGTACTCAACACAGATTAAGATTAACATTAATTATCTGAGAAAATGCTGGGAGGAAATATGTTGTCATTCCCATTTGGATCATTTTGGGCCTGCAATGTAACAAAATGTCTTGGAGAAATGGTGTGAGGTTTTTGACTCAAATTTCCAATGGTATATTTGAAGGTGGCAGCACGGTGGCACAGTGGTAGAGCTGCTGCCTCTCAGTGAGCAGGTTACCCCAGTTCAAATACCAGTCCAGGGGCCTTTCTGGGTGGAGTTTGCATGTTCTCTCCGTGTGTGTGTTTTCTCCGGGTACTCTGGTTTCCTCCCACAGATCAAAACCATGTATGTTAGGCTGATCGGTAATTCTAAATTGTCCTTAGGTTTGAGTGAGAAAGTGAATGGTTGTTTGACTCTATGTGACCCTGTGATGGACTTGCCACCTGTCCAGGGTTTCCCCCGCCTCTCGCAAAGTGATTGCCGGACATGGGCACCAGTGACTCCCGCAACCCAAAAAAGAAGAAGCAGGAAAAGATAATGGATGGATGGATGGATATTTGAGGATGAGAAAATGCCTGAGGAATGGAGAAGAAGTGTGCTGGTGCACATTTTTAAGAACAAGGGTGACATACAGCGTTGTAGCAACTACAGGGGAATGAAGATGATGAGCCACAATGAAGATCTGGGAGATAGTTGTGGAAGCTAGACTTAGACGAGAGGTGACTGCGAGCAGCAGTATGGTTTCATTCCAAGAAAGAGCACCACCACAGATGCCATTGTTGCTTTGAGGATGCTGATGGAGAAGTAGAGAGGGTCAGAAAGACTTTCATTATGTCTTTGTGTATTTAGAAAAAGCATATGACAGGGGTCCAAGGGAGGAGGTGTGGTATTGCTTTAGGAAATCTGGAGTGGCAAAGAAATATGCTAGCCTGGTATAGGACACGAATGAGGACAGCAGGACAGTGGTGAGATGTGCTGTATGAGTGACAGATATCTTCAAGGTGGATGTAGGATTTTATTAAGGATAGATTCTGAGCCCCTTCTTGTTTGCTCTGGTGATGGACCAACTAACAGATGAAGTCAGGCAGGACCATTATGGACTATTATGTTGGCAGATGACATTGTGACCTGTGGTGAGAACATGGAACATGTGGAAGAGAACTTGGAGAGGTGAAGGTGTGTACTCGAAATAAGAGGAATGAAAGTCAGCCATAGTAAGACAGGATACATGTGTGTGAATGAGAGAGAGGAGGTGGAACATTGAGACTACAAGGAGTAGAGGTCACAAAGGTGCATTGCTTCACTTACTTGGGGTCAACTGTCCAGGGAAATGGGGAATGTAGTAAAGAGGTGAAAAAGAGAGTCCAGGCAGGATAGAGTGGATAGAGAAAAGTTTCAGGAGTGATTTGCAACAAAAGGGTGTCAGCAAAGATCAAAGTGAAAGATTACATGACAGTGGTGAGACCAGCTATGTTGTATGGTCTGGAGACAGTGGCATTGACAAAAAGACAGGAGAAAGAACTGGAAGTGGCAAAAATGAAGATACTGAGGTTCTCCTTAAGAGTGACAAGGATGGATATGATTAGGAATGAGATCATCAAAGGTACAGCACAGGTTGAACAACTGGGAGATAAAGTTAGAGGGCCAGATTGAGATGGCTTGGACATGTCAAGAGGAGGGACAGTGGGTATATTGGTAGAAGGGGGCCGTGTGGGCGGCCGTGGTGCAGTGGTAGTGGCAGCCGACCTCTGATCGGAAGGTTGGAGGTTCGAATCCCGACTTCCCACACCATGTGCCGTTGTGTCCCTGGGCAAGACACTTAACCCCGAGTTGCTCCCGGTGGGACTGGATGGCGCCTTGCATGGCAGCCTACCGCCACCGGTGTATGAATGTGCGTGTGAATGGGTGGATGGCTGGTACTGTAAAGCGCCTTGGGGCCCCTCATAGGGGGGCTGGAAGGCGCTATAGAAGTAAGCTCCATTTACCATTTACCAAGGATGTTAGAAATGCAGCTACCAGGAAAAAGACAAAGAGGAAGGCCAAAGGGGAGATGTATGGATGCAGTTAGAGAGGACATGAATGTAGTTGGAGTGAGGACAGAGGATGCAGAGGACAGAGTGAGGTGGAGGAGGATGACTCGCTGTGGCGACCCCTGAAGAGAGAAAAGCCAAAATAATAATAAGAATGTCACAAAACCTCCCAAATTCATGATAATAAACCCCTTAAAAGTATTTTATCTTGTCATCTTGTCATTTCTACAAACAAACCAGAACAGTATTGTCACCCACTAGGTTGAAACTAAATCCATAGAAACATGAATGCTTAAACATTAGCAAACTCCTGCTGCTTTTGCACATGGATGCAGAAAACAGGCAGAAGACCTTTTGTTTTTAGGTTGGAGATTGAAAGAACTAATTTATTTTGTGGTACTTTAGTTTGTTTTATAGAGCAATTCCACTGTTACCTAATGTTCACATAATATTGTTAAGAAGCAAAGGTCCAATATCCTAAACAGGCCTCCTTACAGAAGAGCAGATAAGGTTTTCTATTAACCTTTTCAAGGAAAAGACATTTAGGGAGGAAGGGGAATAGGCAATTTCAGCAATTACAGGGAACACGGTTAGTGATGCACTTGTATTTTTTGGTATACCTTCCCTTTGGCCATTTAGGTTAAAAAAATGCTCTCTGTTGGTGAATAAACCGATTCTTACTCACATAGTCTGAGATGCTCAGAGTTTCCAGGGAGCTTTGGTGAGACTAAACTGAGCTCAGCAGTAACTGAGCGAGGACAGTCCATCTTCATATCTGGATTATTTGAATGGATGTTTTTTTAGAAGAAGGGTCTATAATGTCAATTTAAAGCACAATTTCAGGGCAACTTCTTCAGAAACTAAACATGATATGCAGGGCAATTTTAAACTGGGTGCACATACTAGCAAAATAAAACGGAGAATGAAAACATTTGAAATAAGACACAACACCTATGAACATGTTTGTGTGGTCACTAAGAAAATTTGATTCCTGTTTGTGATGTACACATTCTCAAGAATAATTCATAGCGTTTCTTCCCATGTCGGTTAACCTCAGTGCTTTGTAATAAGCAGCTGTGAATTATAGTGATCTCATGTGTCTTTGTAAAGGCAATCTTTGCACACAATGGCAATAAAAGCAGACATGCTTTGTTGGTCATTGTAAACCCACACAGTTATGACTTAAACAACATAATGTGTGTTTTCAACGAGCATGTGGGATGAAGATCTTAAGTAATGCTCACTTTCACAACAAACAGACAGATTGTGTTATGAACCAAATGGTGCATGACCCGTTTTAACCTGAACACTGTTATAAATTATTCCATAATTTATTAATGTGACAGTGTACAACAGAGGAGAGAAGTAGTCACCTCTGTAATGACCCTCAGCTTTAAATATTCCTTGGTTACAGCAATGCATTTACAAGACAAAAATAAATAAATAAAAGACTTCAAGGGAAGAAACAGGATCTTTTTATTTTCAGCTTGCAAAAATCAAGCAGAATATTCTAGCCTTGTCTAACAAAAACTTTGAGCTCTAGATGGAGTTTAATAATAACCCCTACATTTATTATATGATCTGTATTGCCATTATGATACATAATTTTACAATGAGCTAAATATTGAATTAGCTTAATGTGAAAAATAATATTATAATACATTATGCTTTGCCAGTGGGTTTTAAAAACGGCAAAAACATCTTTGGTAAATTAAACAATATATAACCTAGATGAATTATAACAATTAGTATTTTGCTCATTTAAAAATACAAAGTATAATGTAGACTTTGAAACCTGACAGAGCAAGCTGGGAAAGAAATATACATTTTCCAAAAAGTAATTTAAAAGCAGACATGTTGAAAAATTAGAAGAAAAAAAAACTGATTAAGCATTTCTTTTTAAATAGAAGAAACAGCAAGTTTTCTGCCATTCTAAGTATCTGAAGATTTTTACTTTGTAAAACTAAATACATAAATAAATAAACATAAATCTATATGGGACATTTAAATCAAGTGCTCTATTAAAAGTCTCAACTTCTGATTTAATTTGGGCCCAAGAGTGACAGTGTAGGATTCCTAATTTTCTCTGCCATCATCCCCACCCCCTGCAGCTGACATTCATTCCAATCATCCACCCAGCCACACCTGCACCTGATTCTGATGATGTCTCCTTCAACTACTTAAACCCCTACCAGACTTTCATCCTACGCTGGACTATTATGATACCTTTGGTACTAAGTGACAGTCGAAACTGATTCTTTGTGAAATTGTGACTTACTTTTGATACTATCCTGTGTTTCAAAGTCCTGCTCCTCCGTGTCTCCACTGTGTCTCCACTGTGTCTCCACCGTGTCTCCACCGTGTCTCCACTGTGTCTCCACCGTGTCTCCACCGTGTCTCCACTGTGTCTCCACTGTGTCTCCACCGTGTCTCCACCGTGTCTCCACCGTGTCTCCTCGATTACTCTTCGCTCTATGTGATCTATCCCGGACATCATCCTGTTCATGCAAATAACAAAACTCAGCCTTGACCCAACACCAAACACCACAAACCAGTTACCGTTTCCTGCGTTACTCACCTTTCGGGATCCCTCCTTCATCTCCTCAAAATTACTAGGACCCCACCCCTTCTCCAACGCAACCTGCAAACAAACATTAAGAACAATATCAACAAATAATATTATACCATGGAGTTCTCTGAAACAATCATACTCACCTTCTTCCCATTCTTCCTCTTACAGCAAGAAACACTGTAAGTAAGTATCACATGCTTTTATACCTTCAGTCTGTGTCTCGTCAGTCTGCCAATCATATATCATGTTAGACAGCAAGAAGTGATTTCATCTAATCCAGGTGAAATGATGGGATGAAATTTTCAGGGTGAACATGTCTTATTGATGTATTTTTGTTTCCAGGCTTGGGAGGTGACAGAAAGGATTCCAAGTTCTGTGTTCAGAGGATGATCTACAGGTATCTTGACAAGACAAGTGCTGGGAGTTGGATGAGTAGGCAGGCAAGCACACAAGGTTGAGCAGAGGTAACATTAATTGTTTGGTTCTTTCAGGGCTTGGATGATGTTTCCACCAGAAAGAGGAGATTTCAGGTGCAGATGAGATACAATCCAGGCAGCCCATGAGGATTTAGAAGGTAATAAATGGTCCAGTGATAAATCCTGGAAGGACTCTGCCTTAAGTATGTAGGTAATCAGCTGTCATAGAAGACAGCTGGAAAAACAACCTGCACTGCCTATTCACCGCACCTGTAGGCATGGTTAGAGGAGAGAGAGAGAGCCAAAACACCCAAATCCTAACAGTAAATGACCAGAAAACACCACAAACATTCAACATAAAAATATGCTGATATAAATGAATATGCATTGGTTGATGGAGATATTGGAACTCACTGGTCAACTGCCTACAGGACATCAAACTCTCAGCATTTACAAATGTCCTCATACTCAACAGCAGTAAAACAGAGTTTTGGATTTTGGTTTCAAAACACTTCTCAGAATATTAAACAGTTTCATCTGAAGGTAGATGGGCACTCCATCTACCTGTTTTTCTTTTTTCATCCATCCATCCATTACCTTTTACCCACTTCTTCCATTTTGGGTCACGGGGGTCGCCGGTGCCCATGTCCAGCAATCACTGTGCAAGAGGCGGGGTACACCCTGGTCAGGTCTCCAGTCCATCACAGGGACACAGAGAGACAAATGAGACAAACAGCCATTCACTCTTTCACTCACACCTAGGGACAATTTAGAGTTACCAATCAGCCTAACATGCATGTTTTTGGTCTGTGGGAGAAAACCGGAGTACTCGAAGAAAACCCACGCATGCACAGAAAGAACATGCAAACTCCACCCAGAAAGGCCCCCAGACCGGGATTTGAACCAGGGACCTGCTCGCTGAGAGGCAACAGCTCTACCAGTTGCGCCACCGTGCTGCCCTAACAGAAACCAATACACATATTTCTATAGCATTCAGTCTGGACAACTAAATATTTTTTGTGGGTGGGGGTGCATAGCATTGGAAAGGCTCCAATACTAAAATGCCAGGGTACTCAAACACTGGGAACACATCACTCATATACTTATTTAACTTCACTGGTTTATTTTTAAGTCTTGAATCTATAAAAAAAAAAAAATCCTCCTCAACTAAAAGAAAAACACCACATCATGGTCGAGTACCGCTCTCACCTACTTCATGCTTATACTCATCCTGAAACGTCAGGTTTTCTGACACTGGCCTTGAGTTTCATTCAGGTCCAAATAATCCAAACCGACCCAGCTCCAGCTCCCAGCCATCTCTGAAACCCCACCCTATCTGACAAATTTACAGTTATTACAGGTCTGAACCTGACTCCCCCCCCCCCCCCCCCACACACCCACCCCCCCCTACCACCCCCCCAACATTTTTTTTAAGCTTTGACTGCTTATACCACCAACTAATATTAATGGTCGGCGGACGCACGCGGCTCAGGAGGCAGAAAATTGGAGCTGAGGAGTCATCAAAGCGCATTAAATGCTTTTCCTGCTTCTGACTGTATCCTGCTCTGACATGTTGGATATTTTGTGATCTCACCTGGGTCGTCGGCCGCGTGCTTCCGCTAAGTGCAGCGGCTGAATGAACATCCATTTGGGCTGATAGGTCGCTTCCTGGCAGTAGTCCATCTGAAGCTTAACTGAAATTTTTACCTCTTTAAACTGGTCGATCAGCGTGTAGTGAAATGGCCGCGTGAGGCAGGTGTAGTATGGCAAGCCATGTTTGCATATATTGGATCGTTGGCCATGTGTGTCCCAGGCACAATAAAAAGCCTGACACCGATCCGGCCCACACATTAAGCACATTATTATGGCCTGGCCAGGTTCAAATCCGGGTCAGGCGGGGCCGGTCTCCGGGTTCGGGTTAGAAATAACAGCTCTACACTGGCCTGCTCTCATCACAGCAGAATGGATACCTGATGACAGAGCTTTCAGAGTCAGTGAAACAACACTCTGGAATTCTGCTCTTGTCACATTTGCAACACATCACCCCTGTGTATGTTTTAAAAGAAAAACGGCAAGTAAATCACCAATCATCTGAATATTTTGCAGCTACATTCTGATGAAGAATACTGCAGAGTAGAGGAAACGTCAGCCTCATTGGGTGGTAAATGATGGCACTAAGACTATTTTGTTTCAAACACATCCTGAGCTCGCCCAGCCTGCTTCACACCATCAGAAATGAGTCATTAACAGCTGCTGTTTTAGAAAATGCTGCTGAAATAAAACTAAGGATTGATTTCTGTTTCTTTTTAACCCTTTCATTGGCTATTAGTGACTTTTTCAAAGCACTTTGGGATTCTTCCTGAAAAGTGTTGTGTGAATACATTTTGCTTGAATACTTGATTAAATTCCAATAATAGCTTTATTTTATAAACTCCTGACTTTACATGTACATGTTGTATGCCACTGTCTTGTGCAATAATAGAAAGCCTTTGTTTGACATCTTTAAGGGATCTTCATGTTAGTTACAATTTTTTCATTATTATTTTTTTAACATTGCTCTTGAGCTTTTAGCTCTAGGTTTAAAATATAGATACACAATATATAGAAGATGATTTTTATCTCAGTTTGCCTATTAAAGCTAAAAATATGCCATGAAGTACCAACAGTTTGTAAAATAAGCAAAAACATAAAAAATGTGTTTGTCAAAATGTATCGACCTCAAACATATGCATGTTTAAAACATATTATCCTTCCCTTTTTTGTAGTCTTGATTTAGACAAATGGGGGTGGGGGGTGGGGGAATGAAATAACAATCAATCCATGATTAAGCATATATTTGACAAAATTTAACCATCTCTGAAACAAGACTTCTTCTACCAATCTCATATTTTTCATCTTCCACAAGTAAAACATTGATCATGTTTTATTTCTTGTGCCAATGCTGATATCACTTTACTGTACTTTGTCTCACTGCCTGTGTTAGAATTCTGAAATTGACAAATTCTTTAGAATCAGAAACTTTACTGTCATTCTAACATTGAAACATTGTACATCAAAATTAAGGTGCATTTCTCCAGTGCAAATAAAACATAATTACTCAGTAAAAATTAAGATATAAAATACACAAAGTAAAGCGAATTAAAAGTAAAATAAATATTTAATATCAGAAATAGTCTGTTTTCCATTCACGTCACATTATATTGCGCTTGTCTCTTAGGTGGAATTGACATACCAGTAAAACTATATTATAGCACATCCTGATGCATGCTCAATAATCCAGGTAGAAATAAAAAAAAAAAGTTAAGTCTGGTCCTCTGGAAATTCCAAAAACAAAACAATATTATAGCATGAAACCATCCATCCATCCATTATCTTTACCCGCTTATTCCATTTTGGGTCACGGGGGTCGTTGGTGCCCATGTCCAGCAGTCACTGTGCGAGGGGCGGGGTACACCCTTGACGGGTCGCAAGTCCATCACAGGGACACATAGAGACAAACGAGACAAACAACCATTCACTCTCTCACTCACACCTATGGACGATTTAGAGTTACCAATCAGCCTAACATGCATGTTTTTGGTCGGTGGGAGGAAACCAGCATGAAACCAGTTTATTGCAAACATGAAGGTACACAAGGTCAGACTGACCACTTAGCAGCATTCAACATGGTGATGGCTGAAAGAAAAAAACTGTTTCTTAGTCCGTTAGTTTTTGTCTTTATTGATCTGAAGAATCTGCCCGAAGGGAAGCGTTCAAACACTACATGTCCTGCGTGTGATGGGTCCTGAAATATTTTTTTAACCTTCCAAAGACAACCCAAAATATGTAATTCTTCTTGTGAGGGTAGAGGACAGCCAACTATCCTCTGGTCAATCTTAATGACACTGTGAAGCTCATTCTTCTGTGCTGCTGTGCAGCTGGAAAACCAGGCACAGAGACAGCAGACCAGGATATACTCTACTGTGCAGGTGAAAGGACACTAGCAGTCTCTTAGGGATGGTATTTTTCCAGAGATTTCTTAGGATGTAGTCTCGTATGGGCCTTCTTCACTTCATTCCCAGTGTGTGTACCCCAGGGCAGGTCCTTCCTGATGGAGACTCACAAGAAGCTGAAGCCTGAGACGATCCCCATACAGTCCCTATTGGTGATGAGTGGTTGAATGTTGACAGCCTTTTTTCTGAAGTCCAAGGTAAGCTTCTTAGTCTTAGTTATGTTAAGGAGCAAGTTGTTCCTACACCACGTTGTCAACTGCTCCACCTCGTCCCTGTAGGCCAACTCATCCCCCTCAGAGATGAGACTTATGTGGTCAGGCAGATGACTTGCATACAGAATACATTTAAAGAAAGATTTTAGTCATATTTTGCCTCAAAAAGATAAAACATGTTCAAATTTTTTGCAAAAGATCCAAGAACATTGCTGAAAATCTTTGAGCTTATTAAAGTCCTGACAGCTCACCTGTCGGGTACCACTTGCCCAAAATCTATTCAGTGGAATGAACAGGAACACTCCCAGTAGTTTGTCTTTTACAAATAACCTATTAAAAAGTTCCTTCTCCATCGGTTTACTGTGCATTCTATTTGTACCCAATAAATCATGCCTCTTTCTTGGGTGTCTGCTGACTGTGTACTCCCATTTGTAGTGCACCACTTTAACAATGTGCAGGGCACCATCATATTCCACTGGGTGAAGATCGTAAACATTATTCAAAATACTTTTTTTTTTTAGTCTTGTTATTGCTTCAAGA